TTTCTGACTGCCCCATCACTGTTCGTCTTTGTCTCCCAGGTGGGGCTTCACATTGATACTGGAGAAGATGCACCTGTGAGTACCTCCTGCCCTGGCTTCTCTGGCCCAGCTCTGCACTCTGTCTTTTCTCCTCCCTCTTTCTATGCTCCATTCCTATAGCTGTGACCCTCTCTCTCCCTCTGATTCCACTCTGATCACCCCAGCTACTTGTCCTGCACTGACGAGGATGAGATGTGGGATTGGACCACCAGCATCCTTAAAGCCCAGGTGAGGGGAAGGAAAAGGCTGAGGGCTGGGTCTGTGGTCCCCCTGGGGCCCAGCTATCCTCCTCAGTGCCTTTCATGCCCACTGGTGCCAACCCCTCACGCTCCCACCAGCACGATGACCAGCAGCCAGTGGTCTTACGACGCCGTTCCTCCTCCGACCTTGCCCGTCAGAAGTTTGGCACTATGCCTCTGCTGCCTATCCGTGGGGATGACAGTGGAGCCACCCTCCTCTCTGCCAATCAGACCCTGGTAAGGCACCCCAGTCTGCCCCAACCCCTGATTCCTGCTGTAACCCTTGTCACGTTGCAGTAGGGAGTGGTGTGCCTGCTAGCCTGGTGCCACCCTATGCTCACTGTCCCCCTCCCTTCTGCCTTCTTCACCCCCATTCACCACTCCTGTCTCCTGTTGCTAGTCCTCACTGTGTCTTTATATCTTTCCCTCCCCTTGTCCCCACCCCACCTGTGTCCAGCGGCAACTACACAACCGGAGGACCCTGTCCATGTTCTTTGTGAGTATTGTGCCTGCTCCAGCAGTATGCCTGTCAACCCTGTGTTCCTCTGTGCTGCCTGAGCCCCGGATGTGCTCTGTTTTCCTCATGTAGGCCATCAGGGTGTGTGTAGGCCATCGGGGTGTGTGTGTGTGTGTGTGTGTGTGTGGGTGTGTGTAGCCCATGGGGGGGGTGTGTGTGTGTGTGTGTGTGAGAGAGAGAGAGGGAGAGAGGACAGAGAAAGAGAGAAAGGGAGAGGGAGAGGGACAGGACAGAGAGAGAGGAGGCCAGAAAGAATGAGGAAAATGAGAGGTATAAGGTGCGGTAATAAAAGGAGAAAGTTCGGGCACAGTGGCTCACACCTGTAATCCCAGCACTTTGGGAGGCTGAGGTGAGTGGATCACCTGAGGTCAGGAGTTCAAGACCAGCCTAATCAACATGGTAAAATCCCGTCTCTACTAAAAATACAAAATTAGCCAGATGTGGTGGCGCATGCCTGTGATCCCAGCTACTTGAGAGGCTGAGGCAGGAGAATCACTTGAACCTGGGAGGCAGAGGTTGCAGTGAGCCGAGATCACACCACTGCACTCCAGCCTAGGCAGCAAGAGTGAAACTCTGTCTCAAAAAAAAAAAAAAAAAAAAAAAAAAAAAAAAGGGGAAAGTTGTCACAGAATCTGTGAAATAGAAGGAAAGTGATGAAGTGAATGCATTTTGGAGTTAGACAGACCTGGGTTCAAACCCCAGCTCTGCCATTTACTCATTATGTGATGCTGGGCAACTTAACCCCTTTGCATTCAGTTGACTCTTTTGTAGTGTAACCCACTGCACAGGGTTGTTCTAGTATTATACATGCCAAGTATTTTACAGCATCTGGCCCAGAGGAAGAGCTCAGTAAATGTTAGTGATTAATAATCTGGTAACTTTAACTCTGTGCCCACTCCTGCCATCCCATTCCCGTTCAGCCGATGAAGTCATCCCAGGGGTCTGTGGAGGAGCAAGAGGAGCTGGAGGAGCCTGTGTATGAGGAGCCGGTGTATGAAGAAGTAGGGGCCTTCCCTGAGTTGACCCTGGACACTTCTACCTCTTTCTCCACCACACGGGAGTGGACAGTGAAGCCAGAGAACCCCCTTACCAGCCAGAAGTCCTTGGATCAACCCTTTCTGTCCAAGTCAAGCACCCTGGGCCAGGAGGAGAGGCCACCTGAGCCCCCTCCGGGCCCCCTTTCAAAGAGCAGTCCCCAGGCACGGGGGTCCCTGGAGGAACAGCTGCTCCAGGAGCTCAGCAGCCTTATCCTGAGGAAAGGAGAGACCACTGCAGGCCTGAGAAGTCCTTCCCAGCCATCCAGCCCCCAATCCCCCAGTCCCACTGGCCTTCCAACACAGACACCTGGCTTCCCCACCCAACCCCCCTGCATTTCTAGTCCACCCTCCAGCCATCCCCTCACATGACCCTAGGACCAGCAGTCTGAGAGGGTAGGTACCAGAAGACCCAGAAGCTCTCATCATGGCACTGTTGCAGCTTCCTCTGGCCCGGCTGGAAAGACTCCAGAATCCAGTGTGGTGCTGTGGAAGGAGCATTGGACTGAAGGCTTCAGTGGCTGTGTGTCCCAGGACAGGTCATGGCTCCTCTCTGGGCCCAGCCCATTTATCTGTACCATGAGGTAACTGAAGTAAGGAGAGCAGTGAATGTCAAACTGTCAGAGCCATAAGCCTCACATATTTTCCCTCAACAAGGGCAGCTCCTGCTTTATATATTTGATATGTAGGGGTTCTGTGAGAGATTTTGGGTTTTAAAGGAATGGTTTTATTGCATTAAAGAAAAAAATGCTTTGGAAACCAGAGGCCTGGATGATGTTAAAGTCTATCCTGTCCCACTTCCTACATTCTGGGACTACAGTGAAGCCTGGAGTAGGGAGACTGATTGAGTTTGGGGGCTGGGACCAGGGGAGTCAAAAATAGATGAGTAATTGTCAATAAACCTTGGAACCAAAAGACTACCATTCTCATTCATTCATTCAACAAATATGTATTGTGCACCTAATTGGTCCCAGGTCTGGGGATATAGCATGAACAAAACAAACAGGGCCCCTGCTCTTATGGATCCTCCATTGTGGAGGGGAACAGAAAATAGCAAATAAACACATAAACCAGTACTTGAACAAGTGAGTTTAGTGCTGTGAAGAAACTGAACCAAAGTGATGAACTTGAAGAGTGATTGTGGAGGCCAGGCGCAGTGGCTCACACCTGTAATCCCAGCACTTTGGGAGGCTGAGGGGGATGGATTATCTGAGGTCAGGAGTTTGAGACCATCCTGGCTAAGATAGTGAAATCCTGTCTCTACTAAAAAAACAAACTTAGCTGGTTGTGGTGGCACGTGCTTGTAATCCCAGCTACTCAGGAGGCTGAAGCAGAAGAATCACTTGAATCTGGGAGGCGGAGGTTGCAGTGAGCCGAGATGGCACCATTGCGCTGCAGTCTGGCAACAGAGCGAGACTCCGTCTCAAAAAAAAAAAAAAAAAAAAAAGTGATTGTGGAAATGGCCTTTGGACTGGGTGGATGGGGAAGGCATCTGTGAAGAGTTGCAAAGGGAAAGAAGCTGTTGGAAGACACAGGTGGAATGCTGGAAGGAAGAGATTCTGGAGAAGGAAAGCGGGCATGAAGAACGCTCTGCACTGGAAGGTACTTGGTCTACTGAGGGAACAGCAAGGAGGCTGGAGCACAGTGAGCGGACAGTGGGAGGAGAGTACAGGCTGAAGTAAGAAAGACCAGCAGGGTCTTCCATGCATACCCTTGAAGGCCATGGATTCTATTTGGATTTTATTCTGAAGCAATTGCATTTTAAGCAAGTAAATGATGAGATCTTATTTCCCTTTAAAAAAGAAAAAAAGGTTGATCACTCTGCTGGGTGAACAGTGGGTTGGGGTGGGGGAAGTGTGGAAGTAAGGAGACCAGATATTAGACCAGAAGTCTAATAATGAGGGCTTGGACTAGGATAGTGGTCTTGGAAATTGAGGGAAGTGGATCAAGAGGTTTTTGTTTGCTTATTGTTGTCTGAAATAGAACCTGTAGGACCTACTGATGGATAGAATGTAGGAGTAGGAGAAGGCACACTGACTCTGGGTTTCTGGCTTAACTAACTGGAGGAAATTCGGTGCCATTTAAAACGTTACCGGGGGAGGATCACGTTGAAGGAGCTTTAAAAGCTTTAGCCGGGTGCGGTGGCTCAAGCCTGTAATCCCAGTACTTTGGGAGGCCGAGACGGGCGGATCACGAGGTCAGGGGATCGAGACCATCCTGGCTAACACGGTGAAACCCCATCTCTACTAAAAAAATACAAAAAACTAGCCGGGCGTGGTGGCGAGCGCCTATAGTCCCAGCTACTCCGGAGGCTGAGGCAGGAGAATGGGGTAAACCCAGGAAGCGGAGCTTGCAGTGAGCTGAGATCCAGCCACTACACTCCAGCCTGGGCAACAGAGCGAGACTCCGTCTCAAAAATAAATAAATAAATAAATAAAAGCTTTAAAAGTTGAGGTTCCTATTAGATACACTAGCAGAGGTGTCAGTGGGGAGTTGGAGTGTGAATCTGGAGTTTTGAACCATGTCAGGGTTACTGGGACAGGTGCCTGAGCCAAAGGAGCTTCGGTGAGGAGGATGAGGAATGGGAGAGAGGCTCCTCAGAAAGCAGTGCTAGGGCCGGAAGATCCTAAAGATGGCAGGGGCTTCCTGCGCATCTCCCAGCTCTCGCCGACTCACTGGTATCGTTTACTTTTCAGTGGGGCCCAGACTTTTTACCTTTGGGCCTGGTGCCTTCCTGGATCTAGGCATGTTTCTCACCCTGCTCACTCTGGCTTTTCCAGTTAAGCGGGAATTAGGAAAAGGTCTGGGACCAGCCCTCTCTTCGTCAGATGCATCTTTGCTCAGGTGCCCAGTGACTCAGTTTCCCTGGTCACACATTGAATTCCTCATCATTAGCTCGGGGACTGGTGATCTACATATGCAAATGAATAATTATCAATAATTACAGGCTGAATCAGTGGATACACTACAAATAGAACTCAAGGCGTCTTGACTCAGATGCCTGGGGTTCTCCCCACCGCCCAGCGGACGCTGCGTCCGCCCCGCCGCCCGGACCCTTCCGGGGTATTCGCAGCAGTAACAGGTTTATTTTCTTTGCTGCCCGGTCTCGCTTCCGCGCCCTGCGCCGTCGCCGGACAAGTCGTGGGCGGGCAGAGGGCGGGGCCTGGCCTGGCCTGGGGCGGGGCTCCACAGTGGGCGGGGCTTCCCCGAGTTCCGGAGTCCAGTCGCTGGCCGCCTTGCTGGAGCGGAGATGCAGCCACCGCCCCGAAAAGTGAGCTTGCTCCTGAATGGGGACTCCTGGCGGGCTGGGGGAACGGACGGAGCTAAGGGGGCACCAGACTTGGGGTGGGAGACGGGAAGTCGGAAGGGATCAGACCCCAAACCAGAAGTAACAGAGGAAAGAGCTCAGCCCCTCCCTGGCCCCGCCCCCTCACCGCTCCCTGCGCGGAGTGTTTTTTAGGTCCTTGTGCCCGGGGTCTTCATCCTCTCCTTGCCCCCGCAGGTGAAGCCGGCCCAGGAGGTGAAGCTTCGCTTCCTGGAACAGCTGAGCATCCTTCAGACCCGGCAGCAAAGGGAGGCGGATCTGCTGGAGGACATCAGGTAGCCCCCTAACCCTCTTCATTTACACTCACCTTCGTCGTTGTGCGCCACTTCTCCCCAACATACATCTGCCGGGGTGGAGGAACAGGGGTCAAGAGCTCCCCAGCCGACCCATCCACAGCCCTCACCCTAGGCTTGGCCTCTCCAGATACTGGATAGGAATGCTCCCCAACCTAACCCCCCCACAGCTCCCCCCCACATAAACACAGGAACTCTCCCTCAAAGCCCTTGACTCCACACTACTGCCCCCAACCCTACAATCAACCTTAGAGCAGAATCCCTCTCCCTCTTCCAGACCTGTTGGAAGGCTGGCAGACGTCGTACCCAGGCCCCCATCAATCTTCACCTCTAAGCCCACAGATGAACCTCTGGGTTGGGGAGGATCCTGCTGGGGCCCAGGGCAGTAAGGTGAGGGTTTCCTGTGTTGCGGCTGCCTGAGGTGATCTCAAGGACTCCCATCAGTCCCATTCCCTCTGGGTGCAGTTACGCTCTAGGAACCTGGCTCCCCCGGCTTCTTCCTGCCCAGAGTAGAGGACTGAGGATGGGAGAACATGCCCAAACATAACCTTATCCCCCACCTGCAATCTCCGCAGATCCTACAGCAAGCAGAGGGCAGCCATTGAACGGGAGTATGGGCAGGTATGGGACTTTTTTCTGTACCTTACCTCTTGTTCCAGTCTCCTTTACATCACCAGTAATGTCTGTCCATATCTATCCCTATTGTGGTCAAGAGCAGATGCCTAGAGTCAAGCAGACTGGTGTCAGATCCCTGTTGTGTAATTATAGCCATATGGCCTTGGACCAGTTAGTTAACCTTTCTTGACCTCAGTTTCTTTCTCTGTAAAATGGGAATAAAAATAATACCTTACCTTCATGTAGGGTTGTTGTAAGGATTATACAAATTAATGACTATAAGGCATTTAGCAAAGCAAGTGGCACATAATGTACCCAAAGGATGGTATGATTATACTCTGATCTCATATTCTCCCAGTTGGGGTGGGTCTTTGAAAGGGAACTTGGTTCTGTGATGGCTTTTTCACCAGGCACTCCAGAAACTGGCTGGCCCATTCCTGAAGAGGGAAGGGCACCGGAGCGGCGAGATGGACAGCAGGTGGGCCCTATGGAGGGGGCGGGCCACAGGGACCAAAAAGTGATGGGGAGCTCAGCCCCAGGAGCCTGTGGAGATGAAGGCCTAGCAAGTGGGGAGGGCACGTGAGCTGTAGGTAGAGCTGACACAGCAGCAGCAGAGGAGCTGACCCAGCAAGGACACTGTGGGTGGGGTGGAGGGCAGGAGTGAGGCTTGTGGCTGAGCTAATGGGCTGATCGATTGATGGGCTTATAGACAAGGGAGGATGGGAAAGCACTCTGTCTCCCATGGTGTTGGTCAGGGGGCGGGGGTGGTCTCATGAAGCTGTGGAGTGCTCTCCTCCTCAACACAGACCTTCTCTGGGGAGGGGCAGGACAGTGTTCGGTGCCTGGCGCTGCCTGCTGGATGCCACCGTGGCTGGGGGCCAAACCCGGCTCCAGGCGTCCGACCGATACCGTGACCTAGCAGGGGGCACAGGGCGGAGCGCCAAGGAGCAGGTGCTTAGGAAGGTATGGCTCACAGGATGGGGTGAAGGAAGAGCTGGCTTGGGACCAAAGGTGGTCTAGGTCAGGACTTTGTGTATGCATCCCAATAGGGAACAGAGAACCTCCAGAGGGCGCAGGCCGAGGTGCTGCAGTCTGTCCGGGAGCTGAGCCGAAGTCGGAAGCTGTATGGGCAGCGGGAACGTGTGTGGGCCTTGGCACAGGAGAAGGCAGCTGACGTCCAGGCCAGGTGGGGTCATGTAGAGTGAGGAAGCCCAAGGTGGGGGAACAGGGAGGTGGGGCTGTGTAGGGGTGGAGCCAAGTCACCAAAGCAGGGCCTGACTCTGATCTCATATTCTCTCACTTGGGGTGGGTCTGACTCCTTTCCCTCATCTGCACAGGCTAAACCGAAGTGACCATGGGATCTTCCACTCTCGGACCAGTCTCCAGAAACTGAGCACCAAGGTTCGAGGGATGAGGGCATGAGTGTGGGGCAGGGAAGAGAAGGGCAGAGTAGTCTAGTGGTTTGGAACCTAGGTGCATAAGTATGAAAGACTGGGTTGAATCCAGGCTCTCCTACTTCCTGGGTGGGTGACCTTGGTTAATTTACTTCATCTCTCTGAGCCTTATTTTCTTCTATAAAATGGAAAGAATACCCTTCTTTTTCAGTCCTTTAATATGCATTTATTGAGGATCTGCAGGTACTAGGCACTGTTCTAGACACTATGGATAAGTGGAGAACACTACCAACAGAGTTCCTGCCCTCACAGTCTGGTTAAGAGAGACAGACAGCAAATAAATACTTAGATTAAGATGAAAATAAAACAAGGTACTATGATAAAGAATAACAAGGGGGTAGAATTTAGAGGGAGGCCTCTCTGAATAGGTGGCCTAATTGTCAAGAAGGAGCTGGCCTTGCAAAGATCTAAAGGAAGAACATTCCAGAGAGAAGAAATGATGAGTGCAAAGGCTCTGAGGTGGGAATAACTTCGTAGGCTCGAGGAATTGAGAGAAGGCCAGTATGGCTGGAGTACTGTGAGCAAGGGAACAAGCACTTGAAAAGACGTTAGAGAGGTTGTGGGGGTCAGCTCATATTGAACCTGGTGGACCGTGGTAAGGAACAGTGGATTTTATTTTAAATGTGTGCAGAAGGCACTAGAGGATTTTGAGCAGGAGTTGTGAGTATGCAACATTTTTAGTGTAGTGCCAGGCACATAGTAAGCACTCAATAATGTGAGAATCCATTCTGGATCTGGCTTCTCAATTGGTCTTGGAAGGACTCAAGGGGTCTAGGGCTTCCTATTGACATCAGTTTACTCTCCTAGCTGTCCGCCCAGTCAGCCCAGTACTCCCAGCAGCTGCAAGCCGCCCGCAATGAGTACCTGCTTACTTTGGTGGCTACCAATGCCCACCTCGACCATTACTACCAGGAGGAACTGCCAGCTCTGCTCAAGGCCAGTCTTAACCCAAACACCCCTGTCCCTCAGCAGGGAGGGAAAGGAGGACCTCCCCCTTGCTTCTTGATCCCCATGACACTGGGCGGTGCAGGGGATCTTGTCTGCTTACAGTGGGTAGATGATACATACATGGGCTCTGGTTCTGCTCCTAGCTGGCTGCATGGCATTGTACAGTACACGTAACCCTTCTGAACCCCAGATTCCTCATCAGGGATGACCCTTTCTCTGCCTATCTTATAACACTAGTTGGGCTCAAAGGAGAGAATGGATGTTAAAGTATGTTTTAAACTTCTAAGTGCTCTGCACACGAGGGCCTTTCTCATGAAGAATGTCTTCTTCCCTCCTTCCTATATCTCATGACCATCACCTGTCAAATCTGGAACGAGCCTATTTTACAGTAGAGATCTGGGGGAAGGGTGGTGTTAGTATCTTGGGGTTCTTTCTAGGCCCTTGTCAGTGAGCTGTCAGAACACTTGAGGGACCCCTTGACCTCCCTCAGCCGCACTGAGCTGGAAGCCGCAGAGGTCGTCCTGGAGCATGCCCACCGTGGGGAGCAGACAACCTCCCAGGTGAGGGCTGTGGCCTCTAAGAGCTTCCCTAGGGATCCTTTTTACCCTTCCCTCCCAGTGCAGCCCTCTTTCCTTCACACATTGTCCTTTTTCTTCCAAGAAGTGCTAGGAACAGGGTTGGAGAGTGAGCCAGTGAATGAGTGACTTTGACTTTTCCCAACCCCTAGGTAAGCTGGGAGCAAGACCTGAAGCTGTTTCTTAAGGAGCCTGGTGTATTTTCCCCCACCCCACCTCAGCAGTTTCAGCCAGCAGGGACTGATCAGGTGAGACCTTCCTGCTTGTTGGAACCAGGCCACATATAAAGGGGACTATGATTTAGGCCTCCTCCTCCATTATCCTTGTCTTTATGTTAACTTAGTGAGTGTTACACCATGGAGAGGGGGTTTCAGAATTCCAACTCACCTCCCTCCCACCAGGACACACACACACAAAAAACACACCTCAGGCCACCTTTCAGTCACTTGACTGCACCATCTTCTTCATTCTACCTCTGTCCCTCGACCTGGATCCCATTTCTGAAGCTCTGTATCTCTGTGTCCACATTACCTGTATCCATGGCCATAGGCATGTGCCCCTTCCTCTTTGTCCTTGTCCTTGGAGGTCAAGACAGAGTGGAAAAAGGAGGGAACTGGAGAGAAGGAGCAGCCTCAGGTCCTCCTCACAGCACCCCCTGACCCATTCAGGTGTGTGCCCTGGAGTGGGGAGCAGAAAGCATGGCTGGCGAGAGTGGCCTGGAGAAAGAGGTTCAGCGCTTGACCAGCCGAGCTGCCCGTGACTACAAGATCCAGAACCATGGGCATTGGGTGAGGTGGGGGGCACAGGTGTCATGTGCACCTTCTTGTCTCAGCAAGAAGAGCTGAGAGAGGGGATCTTGGAGCCATTGAGGGTGTCATGGGGCTACAGAGGGGAGGGAAAGGTATTGTAAGGTAACAGTGTGGCACAATAGTTAAGAACAGTTTTTGGAGCTAGACCCACATAGGTTCAAATTCTCTTCTGTTGCTTCCTAGTTCTGTAACCCCGGGTAAGGGAGTGACGTAACCTCTCTGGACTTCAATTTCCTCATCACTAAAGTAGGGCCAATAATAGCACCCACCTCATAGGGAAGATTAAATGACATAATGTATGTGATACAACTAGCAAAGTACCAGTCCTGTAGTAAGTCATGCCCCACAGTATTTCCACCCACCCCTGTTCTCTGCCTTCCCAACCAGGTACTGCAGCGACTGGAGCAGAGGCAGCAGCAGGCTTCAGAACGGGAGGCTCCAGGCATAGAACAGAGGTTACAGGAAGTGCGAGAGAGCATCCGCCGGGCACAGGTGAGGCACACCCCTGAGGTTAGAGAGCTCACCTTCTCAGGCAAGCCCCACTCCCTCTACTCTTTCTGATGGTGGGAAGGAGGGAAGGGAGAAGCAGAGAGTAGACACTGCCATCAGCCAGGTTCCACTAACTTCCTTCCTCCCTATGCCAGGTGAGCCAGGTGAAGGGGGCTGCCCGGCTGACTCTGCTGCAGGGGGCTGGCCTCGATGTGCAGCGCTGGCTGAAGCCAGCCATGACCCAGGCCCAGGATGAGGTAGAGCAGGAGCGACGTCTCAGCGAGGCTCGGCTGTCCCAGAGGGACCTCTCTCCAACCGTGAGCTCCTCCCCTGACACTACCCATCCTTACTTAGAAGTGAAAAACTCCAGTGGAACACAAACCCTATAAAACTGGAATCACAGTTGTGCCTAACTCAAAGGGTTATTGTGAGGTTTAAGTGAAATCATTCATATATCATTCTTTACATAATTTCTGGCATAGAATCCTCAGTAAATTTTTATTATGAGCATAATAGAATGATTAAGAAGTAGGGTTCTGGGGCAATCTGTAAGGGCTTTGAGTACCAGCCACTCCACTTATGAGCTGTGCAATCTCGAAAAGTGACTTAACTTTTCTGAACCCCAGTTTCCTCATAAATAAAGTGAGGTTAATAGTTGTGCAAAACTATTAGCACTGGGTCATTATGAAGATTAAATGAGACAATATATACAAGATACTTTGCATTGTGCTTGGCACATAGTATGCACTCAATTGCTGTAACTCTGCTATTACTGTTGTTATTATCCTACTCTGTGGTGACTGTGGTTGTATACATGGTAAGTGGATGGGTGCAACTACCTTGGAGGGGGATCCATGGTGTCCTTTACGGGAAAGATGGAAGAGTGGGAGATAGAACCAGTGCTTGAGAGCGGGCCCCATATGAGGTCTGTTCTTTGCCCCTCTAGGCTGAGGATGCTGAGCTTTCTGACTTTGAGGAATGTGAGGAGACAGGAGAGCTCTTTGAGGAGCCTGCCCCCCAAGCCCTGGCCACTAGGCCCCTCCCCTGCCCTGCACATGTGGTATTTCGCTATCAGGTATGAATGGGGGTGGGGACCTTTGATGGGGGTGGGGACCTTTGATGGGCAAGGGTCAGGGACAGCCAAGTCCTGAATCCTTCGTGTGTGGCCCAGGCAGGGCATGAGGATGAGCTGACAATCACGGAGGGTGAGTGGCTGGAGGTCATAGAGGAGGGAGATGCTGACGAATGGGTCAAGGTGGGTATGGACCCTGGGCTCTGACCTTGGGTTGGGGGCAGTAGGAGGGACTTCTCTGTGGCCCCCATGGACCCTTCTAGGCAAAGCTAGAAGCCTGAGTAGAGGAGAGCCAGGGTCATGGACTGCTGAGGTAAATCTAATATCTGTTCACATTGCTGGGTGAGCAGGCTCGGAACCAGCACGGTGAGGTAGGCTTTGTCCCTGAGCGGTATCTCAACTTCCCGGACCTCTCCCTCCCAGAGAGCGGCCAAGACAGTGACAATCCCTCTGGGGCAGAGCCCAAAGGTAAGAAAGGGAAATTTGGGGTTAGGGGACCCTGGGTATGGTGAAGAATTGTTAGGGGTTGTAGCCCTGGGGTGTCACGGTCCTGGGGCACTGCCACCCACCTCCCTCTCACCGTTTCTCCTGGGCCTCTGTAGCATTCCTGGCACGGGCCCTGTACAGCTACACCGGACAGAGTGCAGAGGAGCTGAGCTTCCCTGAGGGGGCGCTCATCCGTCTGCTGCCCCGGGCCCAAGATGGAGTAGATGACGGCTTCTGGAGGGGAGAATTTGGGGGCCATGTTGGGGTCTTCCCCTCACTGCTGGTGGAAGAGCTGCTTGGTCCCCCAGGGCCACCTGAACTCTCTGACCCTGAACAGGTGAGGCTTACCTTCTCCCTGAACTACCCAGGCACCTCTGGGTTGACCCTTCCACCCCAGTAAAGCCTCATATTCATTTTAATGCCCCCTCTGCTCCCCAGGTTTACCTCCTGTAGTGGCCTGGGCCTCCCCATCTCCTATGGGTGGGCAGGGGAAAGGGAAACCAAGGCAGCCTTCATAGGAGTTTGGGGGTCCTACTTTAGTGCTGGATAGATCTGAGTTCAAATTTCTATTGTATAACTTGGGCAATGATTTAATCTCTCTGAGCTTGTTTCTTCACGTGTAAAATGGGGATAATACCTACTTTAGCAGGCTCACTGTCATAATTAGAGATAATCGAGGTAAAGCCCCCCCGTTTTTTTTTTGAGACGGAGTTTCGCTCTTGTTGCCCAGGCTGGAGTGCAATGGGGCGATCTCGGCTCCCCGCAACCTCCACCTCCCGGGTTCAAGCAATTCTCCTGTATCAGCCCCTCTAGTAGATGGGATTACAGGCGCGTGCCGCCACGCCCAGCCAATTTCCTATTTTTAGTGGATACAGGGTTTCTCCATGTTGGTCAGGCTGGTCTCGAACTCCTGACCTCAGGTCATCCGCCTGCCTTGGCCTCCCAATGTGCTGGGATTACAGGTGCAAGCCACCATGCCTGGCCGAGGCAAAGCCTTTAGTGCAGTGGAATGCAGAAGGTGTTTCAATATAAGATACCTATTGTTATAATGTATATACATACAGCAGAAAGAGAACAGGAGTGGGCGTCAGGAGACCTGGGTTCTAGCCAGCACTCTGCCAATAACTGGCTCTATGATTTTGGACCTGGCTTAACCTGGGTCTCACTTCTAACACAGGAGTCATATTAATAAAAATGCCTACCTCATGGGGTAGTGGTGAGGATTGAATGAATTAGTACATGTGAAGTGCTAGTAGAACACTTGAGACATAGTATACATAAGCATTCAATACATATTGACTGTTGAATATCTGTCAGCTACACCCCCCATCTTAATGCAAACATTTGGCCACTTCCTGTGTTGGGAAGTGATGAGGAAGGAACTGAAGATGGGATGAGAGGAAAAGCTGGTAAAACCTCCCCACGTGCCAGGAATAACTGTGTGCCCACCCCACCTCCAGATGCTGCCGTCCCCTTCTCCTCCCAGCTTCTCCCCACCTGCACCTACCTCTGTGTTGGATGGGCCCCCTGCACCTGTCCTGCCTGGGGGTGAGTGGAAGGAATTGGGAGCCCTGGGAGGCTAACAGATAAGGAAGAAGGAGGAAGCTTGGACTCCCAGGTCACGGTCTGGTCCTCTCCATGCCCTCAGGCATCTTGCAATAAGGTCTATTGCAGCTTGGTGGAGAGCACTTGCCTGGGCTCTGGAGCCAGGCTGACTGGTTCAGATCCCGCTCTGTCATTTCCAAGTGTGTGACTCGAGGTGGGATTCTGAACCTGTCTGGGCCTCAGTTTATGTTCTTTATGAGGTAAGGAAAAGGTACTAGCTCATTGAATTGTTATGAGAGTTAAAAAAGATGCCTGTGGACTACACAGCATTGTGTCTGGCACACAGTATTCAGTCGCTATTTTAAAAATTAGCTAAGTTCTCTCTCATGGTGTCCTCCCAATATGCACCTTTTGCTCCTAGTGTCCAGATACCTAGCTTTGTATCATTTTTTCTGATGCCCACTTTTTTTTCTTTTTTAAATGTCTATAGCAGTTTTATTTTATTATTATTTATTTTAGATTCAGGAGGTACATGTGCTTGTTTGTCATATGGATATACTGCATACTAGTGGAGATTGGGCTTCTAGTGTACCTGTTACTCAAATAGTGAACATTGTACCTGATAGGTAATTTTTCAACCCTCACCCCTGCCTCGATTCCTACCTTTGCCTCCTTTGGAGTCCTGGGAGTCTGTTATTTCCATCTCTATGTCCATGTGTAGCTGTTGTTTAGCTCCCACTTATAAGTGAGAACATGTAATATTTGGTTTTCTGTTTCTGAGTTAGTTCATTTAGGATAATGGCATCCAACTCCATTCATGTTGCTACAGACGACATGATTTCATTCTTTTTAATGGCTGTGGAATGCCTGCCTTTTCTAAAACCTTCTGGTACTCCCACCTTGTCCACAAGGAGTCTCCCTCCCTGGAGTTACCATCATCTCCACCACCCCAAGTTCACTTTGCATGACTTAGCACTTAGTCATTTATTGTGTTTATTGAGGTTTCATTATTGGTTTCTTGACAGCCACTGGGGGTAGGAGCGCTATGTATCCTATCTGCCTTTGTTTTATACCTTGAGCAGAGCTGATTATACAGCAGTTACCCAATAAATGTTGAGGACAGTGGATAGAGTGATGGATTTTATGGTCTAGGATGGTGACCATTAATTTAGCAAATATTTATAGAATGCCACTTTCCTAAGTGCTGGAGATACAGCATTGAACAAAACAAAGTCTGAAGACTGACTTGTGGTTCTTATTTCCAGACAAAGCCCTGGACTTCCCTGGGCTCCTGGACATGATGGTACCTCGACTCAGGCCGGTAAGGGCCCTTGCCTTGGAGGAGATTGTATGTAGAGGGGTTCCAATCAGTCCTGTTTTGTCTGGTATACCCTTAAGGGAGGACTCTGGAGCACTAACTGTGTGTTCCCTACAGATGCGTCCACCACCTCCCCCGCCGGCTAAAGCCCCGGATCCTGGCCACCCAGATCCCCTCACCTGAAGGCCAGGGAATCCTTGACCCCCGGTGATGCTGCTGTCCCTATCTTCAAGCTGTCAGACCACACCCTCAATGATCCAGAGCAACACAGCCAAAACCTGGAATCTCCCTATTTCCACCCTTACCTCCAAGGGTAGAAACTTGCCCCTTCCCATTTCTGGGACTGGAGCCCACTCCTTTTTTTCCCATTGTCCTATCATCTCTAGGACTGGAACTACTCCTTTCTCTTCTGCCATCACCCTATCTAGGGTGGTGAAATGCCTGAAATCTCTGGGGCTGGAAACCATCCATCAAAGTCTCTAGTGGTTCTGGCCCACCTCTTTCCCCACCCTGGCTCCGTGACCCACCCCACTCTGGATGCCAGGGTCACTGGGGTTAGGCCGGGGAGAGGAACAGGCCTTGGGGATCAGAAGGCGCTGGAGCCAGGATGCGAAGCAGCTGTAATGGTCTGAGCGGATTTATTGACAATGAATAAAGGGCACGAAGGCCAGGCCAGGGCCTGGGCCTCTTGTGCTAAGAGGGCAGGGGGCCTATGGTGCTATTGCTTTAGGGGCCCACCAGGGGCAGGGGCCTGCTCCCAGCTGCCACGCTCTATTATATGGAGCGAGGTGTTGGGGAAGGCGGGTCAGGCAGCCTGTTGCAGGCAGGGGAAGGAGAAGAGACTGAGGGGCCATGACCTCTCCTGAGGCCCCCAGCCTGAGACCGTGTAACTCCAGGTAGAAGTTGAGCTGGTCCCTCAGCTGGGGGGCAGTGCTGTCCAGTGGAGGGGAGGGCCTTCACGCCCACCCACACCCTGGCCCTGCCAGCTGGTAGTCCATCAGCACAATGAAGAAGGAGACTTGGAGAAGAGGAAGAGTAACAGTATTGCTTCCTGTTCAGGCTGTATCCAGCTTTTCCCCTGGGGCTGCAGGACCTTCCCTACCTCTACCACCAAACCAAGGGATTTATAGCAAAGGGTAAGCCTGCAGTTTATACTCTGGGGGTTCAGGGAGCTGAAAGGCTTAAGTAGTTTAAGTAGGTGATGGGAAGATGAGATTACCTCATTTAGGGCTCAGGCAGACTCACCTCACATACCCCCTGCTCCCCGTGGTAGAGACACCTGAGAGAAAGGGGAGGGGTCAACGAGAGAACAGGAGTAGGTCATATCAGTGCCCCCCCAAAGTAGAGAGCAATAAGAGCCCAGCCCAGTACAGTCCTGGCTGTGTTTTCCTACCTGGTGATCGGAAGTGTCCGGTTTGCTTTGCTGCCCATTTGCCTCTTGAGTGGGCAGCCCTGGGCTTGGGCCCCTCCCTCTGTCCCTCAGTGTTGGCTCTGCAGAAGCTCTGGGGTTCCCTTCAAGTGCACAAGGGGCTAGGCTGCTGTCCCTGAGTCCTCCATTCTGTACTGGGGGGCTGGCTAGGACCTGGGGCTGTGGCCTCTCAGGGGGCAGCCTCTCCATGGCAGGCATCCCTGCCTTGGGCTGCCCTCCCCCAGACCCCTGACCACCCCCTGGGTCCTGTCCCCCACCAGAGCCCCAGCTCCTGTCCGTGGGGGAGCCATCACGGTGTTCATGCAGTCCATAGCGCTTCTCAATGTGTGTCACCCGGAACCTGGGAGGGAAGGGAACACTGGGGTTTAGGACCACAACTCAGAGGCTGCTTGGCCCTCCCCTCTGACCAGGGACATCCTGAGTTTGGTGGCTACTTCCCTCTGGCCTAAGGTAGGGGAGGCCTTCTCAGACTGTGGGGCACATTGTGTAGCGTGACTTCCGCTGGAGCTCACAGTCCAGGAGGAAAGAGCCAAGGCCCACTTTTGGGATCAGGTGCCTGATCATTGGGCCCCCTACCTCAACCTCACTTTCCCTGGAGCACCTGCCCCACCTGCCCACAGAGAACACAGTGGTCTCCCCTGTCCGGGGGCGGCTTTTTCCTTCCTTGGAGCGTCCCTGACGGACAAGTGGAGGCCTCTTGCTGCGGCTGCAATGGATGCAAGGGGCTGCAGAGCCCAGGTGCACTGTGTGATGATGGGAGGGGGCTCCATCCTGCAGGCTGGAGGTGGCATCCACACTGGACAGCAGGGAGGAGGGGAGCAAGGGTAACATTTCCATTTCCCTTCATGTTTTGTTTCTTATGTTCTTTCAGCATGCTCCTTAAAACCCCAGAAGCCCCAATGTCCCCAAGCCCCAACATTTTTTTCTTGTCTTTATCTAATAAATTCAATATTAAGATGTTAGTGACCACATGTTCTTCCTCCCAGGGCTGTTTGCTAAAAAGAACATTGCTTAACCCAAAGGAGTGGCACTAGAGGTAAATGTTAGGTTTGATGACATCTAGATGAGAGAGATGTTTTGAAGGAATCGAGATTTCTACAAAACTTCTTTCTTCCTATAAGTTAGCCAGCTTTGCCCTTCCCCCAACCCCATACATGCAAGGAGACTGGGAGAGGATTGTGCTGGAGGAGAGGATACTCTCCAAGGCAAGCTAAGTCATGCTGGCCCTTGTTTCCAGCTCACCTGGACAGCTGCACTGTCCCTTCTCCTTCACTGTCCCCCAGCATCTCCTTCAAGGCCTCAGCATTGGCTGAGGGAAGAAGGAAAAGAGGGAGTCAGTGAAGGTGGAGGTCAGGGCAAGAGAAGGTTGGAGAAGGAGGGAGCAAGGGGCTATGCTAGACCCACCTTCATTTTGGATGATGCAGCGAACAATCCTCTCTACTGTGTCCTCATTCATGTCATCGTCCTCAGCTGAAGGATGAAAGAGATTGGCAAGGAAGCAGGAATGAGTCAGCTTTGGGGGAACATTACCTGGTGGCTCCCATCATTTATTGCTTAGGACATACCCTTTTACCTACTTGCTATCATGCTGGACCTCAGCATTTCATGGACCAGAAAAGATGGGGACACCAATGCAAGCCCAAGACTACCATCCAGAGGACCCTTGCTGCCCATGCTGCCTTCTCTAGTTTTGCTTTCAGAGTGGTGTCACCCCACTTGCTAACTCAAGAGTGCATCACTAAGCTTCCTGAGCAGGCTTGATCAGGATTTGGCCTGGGTCTGTTGGTCAGGGAGGCAGAGGTGAGGGGCAGAGGTGTGGGGAGAAGGGTGAAAGGTTACTGAGCCAGGGTTCCAGGCTCCACTCACGGGGCTGAAGCTGGGCATCGTCAGGCTCGGAGCCCCTCGACGTGCGGCAGCGGTAGCCCTTCTTCTTGAGCACGTGGCAGATCATGAAACCTACCAGGCCCATGAGGAAGAAGACCAGCACAAGCAGGAAGAGCATATACAGCCCATGTTGGGGCGGTTCCAGGTCAGGCTGTGGTTCCGACATGAGGCCCTGGGGGGCGAGCGCGGGCCAGGGCGCCTCCTGGGTTTAGGAGGCTGCAGCTGGGAATGGGGGAGGGGTAGGAATGCAGTTCTCAGGATCTGAAACAAGCACGTCTAAGACGTTCGGCTAAGGTCCGGCTCCACCCCCTACCCAACCAGGGAGCTGTCCGGGCCAGGGGTGCTGTTTCGTCAATACGGCCCAAGGCAAGAGGTCAGCGGCTACGCAAGCTCTCTACCACGACCCTGGTCCCGCTTCCCCGACGCCCCGAGCGTTCCCCTTTCCAGCTCGTTCGCGCTTCCGTCCCTCCCAAGGACACTGCAGCACGAGATGGGACGGAATTCTTAGGCGGCGGGAGCAGAAATCGTGCCTGAGTCAGCGCCCGCACCTCCTCCGCGCCGGCCTGAGCCAGGCCTCTGCAGCCCCCTCCTCTCAGTACTCCCGCACCCCTCTCCCTTTTTGGTTTCTCCCACCCTGACCACCTGGCCCACCCGGTACCGGTGATTTGGTTCTGGTTCCGGCTTCTGCTCAGGTTCCGGCTCCAGGGGCGTCCTAGTGCGGCTCGGGGCCCCCGACGCCCTTCCGGCGCTCATCCCTTGATTCCTCCCCTCCCCCTTCGCCGCCTCACCGGCCCCGGGCTGTGGCTGCGGATACCCGCGCCGTGGCAGGCGGGGGGAGGGAAGGACAGAGAAGGATGCGGGCTGACTGAGAGCGGCGGCAGGCTCTGGGCAACTCCGGCCCTGGGTCAGGGAGATCGCCTCCGCAGCCGCCCTGGCTTCCCAAATGCCTTCGCCCGTCGCGGGCCCAGGACCAGGAGGCGGAGCGCAGGTGTGCGGGGCGGAGAGCGTGAGCTCTGCGCGCGCGTGACTGCGCCTGGCCCCCCCGGGGCAATGTGTGGCGCCGAGTCTAGGTCCGGGTAGGGGACAGGAGGTCCGGCGTGGGTGTTGTCCACTGGTCTATCCGCTACGCCTGGCGCAGCTCCTGCCCTCAGATGCCCCGACCAAGCGGAGAGTCAGGAATCTTCCCCGAGGGCTGGGGGAAGCCGGCTTTCCGCACCTTTGAGGGACGGCGTGGCGGGATCTTCGGAGCTTCCTAGAGAAGTGACCACGGCCTGCGCCCGGTTTGGGGCAAGCGGCTGGATGGGATGGCTCAGCTTCCCGAGGATCTGACCCCCGGCCGGAGAGAAATGGCCCTTGCATCCTAGGAGCGATGCTACCAGTTCCCCGCCCAACCCGGGACGCTCAAAGCCGCAGCTCCCGGGAGAGCGGAGCCAGGCGAGGGGCGGAGCTCCCCCGGGGGCGTGGCCTGGGTGTGGCTGGAGGCGGGACCGCAACGCCCAGTTCCGCAGAGGCAGGCTACGTGCTTGCGCAGCACGCACGGCTGGGGCGGGGTTGGCGGCGGGTGGCGGGTGGCGGGCCGCGGGCGGCGGGCGGCGGGCGGCGGAGGCGCGGGGCCTGCTCCCGCCGGCACCATGGCCAAGACCGTGGCCTATTTCTACGACCCCGACGTGGGCAACTTCCACTACGGTGAGGAAACAGGGCTATGCATGAGGGTTGGGACGCGGAGGTTTTGAGGCGGGGGTTGCAACTCCAGGGGTGAGAGCTGACGAACTCTTTTCTCCCCACCCCCAGGAGCTGGACACCCTATGAAGCCCCATCGCTTGGCATTGACCCATAGCCTGGTCCTGCATTACGGTCTCTATAAGAAGATGATCGTGAGTTTCGCCGCCTCGGCCGGGGGTTGGGGGGGGGTGGGGCGAGCTGTGGCGGAAGGGATAGGTGGGCTGGACTGAGTGCATCAAGTGCGACCAGCCCCTAGAGTAGCGGGGAGCTGGATAGAAGACACCGGAGTATCTTGAAAGTGCCGGGTGTTGGAGGTGGCGTCCTCTGCTTAATGGAAAGTACTTTCTCAGCTCAGGTCGGCCACCCTCTGACTGTAGGCACCCTAGCCCTTGGCCTAGGGTTAAGGTGATGTGGGGGCTGGTTTGAAGACAGAAGGAGTGTTCCTCCTCTGCATTTTAGAGTGTGGATAGGGCCTTGGCCTCAGGAATTAGGTTTAGGGGAGCGGATATCACTGTATCAGGGTGTAAGGTTTACCCTCAGTTCCCACTCCTCTTTTGCCACCTTTTTTTTACCTCCAAGGAGCTGGGGCTCCAGGGTGGGACGATACTACCGTGTTTCTAAATGTGTATGTGCGTGTGGAAGAGAGGAGATATCTTAGGTATTCCTTTTTCAGCCCGGAATACCTCTACATGGTTCTACTTAATCGCTATCCAGTTTTTCATCTCCCAGACATACACATGCTGTCTTCCCAGCTTGGAATTTATGGCTGTGATATGGCATAGTAACAGTTAAGCCAGGCCAGGTGTAGTGGCCCATGCCTGTAATCCCAGCACTTTGGGAGGCTGAAATGGGAGGATCGCTTGAGGCCAGGAGTTGGAGACCAGCTTGGGCCACAGTGGGACCCACATCTCTACAAAAATAAAAAATAAAAAAAGTAGCCATGTGTGGTGGGTGTGCCTGTAGTCCCAACTACTTGGGAGGCTGAGGCGAGAGGATGGCTTGGGCCCAGGAGTTTGAAGTTACAGTGAGCTATGATCAGCAGCCTGAGTTGACAGGGAGGACCTTGTCTCAAAAGAAAAAATAAGACAAAACAGCTAAGCCCAGGCTTTATGTGTTGCTAGGGAAGCTAGTGAACAATATGAATGAATGTTCATTGCTTGTGCCCAGGCACAGACAAATAGATTGGTCATAGAAAAGACTGAGGTGATGTTAGTGCAGGAATCTTTATCCCTTGAGATTGTTTGCCTATATGTACCTGTGTGCATTTTCTGGGAGAAAATTTGTCCAGTTTTCAAAGAGATGTGACACATCCCCCCGACCTTCCAAAGATAGTAAACTTCTGATTTTAATTAGAAAGTTGACATATATGCCATATATTTGACTCCAGAAAGAAGAATCTGGAGGAAAGAGGACAGAATCAGAGCTTGGGGGAGGAGATGAGCGTGGAGAGAACTGGGAATAGGAGATCCAAGGAACAGGGCAGGTGGATCAGGGCTCAAAGTTGAGAAGGTACAATAGGCTGAGCTGGAGGTGGAAAGGAAAAGAAATGGTCTTCAGGGGGCTCATTCGTAATAACTCACCTGGTTAATCGGAGTCTCTCTATTGACTTAAGGATTGTGGGATGAGGGGAATGCTATATTTGGCTTCATATAGTCTCCAGGGCTGGGTTCAGTATGGGTGGTCTGAGCCTGTGGAGTGGGGCTGACCCTGGCTAGGTTCATCTTGTGTCTCCATCCCGAGGTCTTCAAGCCATACCAGGCCTCCCAGCATGACATGTGCCGCTTCCACTCCGAGGACTACATTGACTTCCTGCAGAGAGTCAGCCCCACCAATATGCAAGGCTTCACCAAGAGTCTTAATGCCTTCAACGTAGGCGATGACTGGTGAGGGAGGACTGGGACTTTTGATGTCTAATAGTTTAATGCCAAGCCCTTCAGTGAGGTCTTTTGGCAGCAGTGGGAAGATCTCAAGGGGGGCCTACTTGTCAATGAATCATAATTCACTTACTTGTTTATTCAATAAATATTTACTGGTCACTTGTTCTAGGCCAGGCCCTGTGCTAAGTGCTGGGAATGCAGTGATGAACAAAACCAAAATTTTAATACTGTATTTTTGCTAAGTCTTATGAAGAGGAGGTATATGACAGATTATGAGAGTATATATGTGGAGAATTGTTTAGCTTGGTGTAGTGGCTGGTCGGTGGGGCCTTCCTAGAGGAAGTAAAGATTGAGCTGAGATCTGAAAAAAGAGTAGAAGTAGTGAGATGAAAGGTGGTTGAAGGGTGAGGGGAGGAGTATAGCAGGCAGTAGGGACAAGTGCTAAGGGTCCGTGGTAGGATTGAGTATGACTCATTTGAGGAACAGAAAAAAGGCCAAGTGCAGAATATGAAGAGGAGGTGAACTGAATTGAGGCTAAAGAAATAGGGCCTTTTTAAAGTAAACAGCTCTATTATGAATTAGGGTTTTTACTCCTAGAGTAGAGGGAAGCTATCAAAGTTTTTTAAAAAGTCCTGATCATAAGAGGGCTATGGGCAGTTAAGAAAACAAAAAAACAACAAAGGAGTGGTTTGATATCGTTAGGTTTACATTGAGCTGGTATCATCCATAGAAGAGTCAGGATTAGACCCTGTGGGGAAAGGAGTGAACAACAAAGATAAGCCATGATCTTTGCTTACACTCTCCTCTACATCCATGAAAAAATAGTAAACATCATAGCCACCAGTTCCTCAATTCTACTTATTTTTGTTTTTAAGCTTTCTATTAGGGAAAATTTCAAAAATTTCAGAAAGTGAAGTAGTGCAGTGACTTCCCATCCGTCACCTAGCTTCAACACTTATGAGCAAATGGCCACTCTTTTTTTTTTTTTTTTTTTGAGACAGAGTCTCACTCTGTAGCCCAGGCTGGAGTGCAGTGGTGTAGTCTTGACTCACTGCAACCTCCGCCTCCTAGGTTCAAGTGATTCTTATGCCTCAGACTCCTGAGTAGCTGGAATTACAGGTGCCTGCCACCATGCCCAAATAATTTTTGTATGTTTAGTAGAGATGGGGTTTCACCACGTTGGTCAGGCTTGTTTTGAACTCCTGACCTCAGGTGATCCACCAGCCTCAGCCTCCGAAAGTGCTGGGATTACAGGCATGAGCCGTTGCGCCTGGCTGAGCAAATGGCCACTCTTACTTCATCTATACTCCCTCATGTTAGATTGTTTTAAAGCAAATCCTAGATGTTATATCCTTTTATCCATAAATATTTTATTATGTATCGCTAAATGATACTCTTTTAAAAGAAAAAGTATCATTATCAAATCTAAAAAGTTAAGTGATTCCTTAATGTCATCAAATATGCAATCAGTATTCAAATTTCTGCAGTTGTCTCATAATTATTTTGTAGTTAGTTTAAATCTGGATCTAAACAAGGTCTACACAATGCTTTTGGTTGATAGGTCTCTTAAAACTTTTAATTTGTAGCTTTTCTGTCACCCCCTTGAATTTATTTCTTGAAGAAACCAGGTTGTTGATCCAGTAGAGTTTCTTATGATAGCTACCATTTATTGAGTGCTTACTCTGCTAGGTATTATGCCAAGGATTGCTGGTAAATCCACGTAATTCTCATGCCAATCCTTAGATGTATTATAATAGACCTTTTTCTGATGTTATACATAAGTAAACTGAGGTTTGAGAATATTTAGGTAACTTAGCGTCAGTCACGTAACTGGCCATTGGAGTGTGCATGATCCAGATCCCAGGTTTTTAAACCACTAATCTGTTTTCCTGAAAGATCTTAATGACAGATCTTTCTGTCATTAAGAAATGACAGGGCTGTAGGATAGAGGCCAACTCATTAGGCTGGCCTTGGCACCTTTCCAACTTTATCCCTACACCTTAGCTGCACGGGATGCCTTCCTGGAATGCCCTTAGTTCTCTATTCAACCTCCTCAAGGCCTTCTCACTCTTCGCACACCATCTCCATGAAACCTTTCTTGACCACACCAGCCCATAGAGCTCTGTCCTGCACACACTGCACTGCTCATTTGGTGTTCAGTCACGTGCTGTCTCAGGAGGGTTCTTGTTTTTTTGTTACTATACCTGCTGCTATTTCTGAGCTCACTTTCTAGGTCTGAGAATACAGGGTCAGCCCTTAAGCCACACTGGGGTCCTGTAGATGCTGTTTGTGCAATTAGGGAATGCTAATTAGAATACTATCTCTGGGCTATTTATGCTGCATCAGTCTTCCTGTCAAACAAGTTACAGTTGTCTTATCTGTATTTCTGATGAGAATCAGGAATTTTTCTTCTGTTTAATGAATTTCCAATTGCTTTCAAAGTATTCTAACATAAAAGGCCAAATTGTACTACAGGCCTTTAAGTGAAAAAAAATAAAAAAGCAGTCCCAGGCCGGGCGTGGTGGCTCATGCCTGTAATCCCAGCACTTTAGGAGGCCGAGGTGGGTGGATCACCTAAGGTCAGGAGTTCAAGACCAGCCTGGCCAACATGGTAAAATCCTATCTCTACTAAAAATAAAAAAATTAGCCAGGCGTGGTGGTGCATGCCTTTAGTTCCAGCTGCTCTGGGAGGCTGAGGCAGGAGAATTGCTTGAAGCCGGGAGGCAGAGGTTACAGTGAGCTGAGATCATGCCACTATACTCCAGCCTGGGCAACAGAGCGAGACTCTCTCAAAAATAAAAAAAAAAAATTCCAGACCTCTCCCTTTCACCCATAAATCCCTCTGCCCAGTGACAGCCACTTTCAGCTCCTTTCCCTATGTCTTCTGGTATTTACCTTTGGATTTCTAAATAATAATAATATTAATTGACTATTATTAATAATCTGTAATCCTTAGGGAATACCTGTTATATACTAGGTACTGTTCTAAGTGCTTTACAGCCATTAGCTTATTTAATCTCAACAACCCCTGTGAAGCAGGGTGTATTATTGTTTCCTTTTACAGATGAGGACACTTAGGCACAGAAAGGTTAAACAGTTTGTACAACCTCACTATCATTAGTAGGTGTTAAAGAACTGGAATTTGAACCTAGGTAGTCTGGCTCCAGAATCTGTGCTTGTAATCATACTGCCCTCCTGTATTGTCTCTCATTGCTATTTCTTCATCTGTCAATTTTAGGTAGTATCTGTTAAGCTCTTAGTATGGGATGTGAGCATTTAGTCTTCTTACACCATGACGTTGGCTTCCTTTCCCCTTTCAGCTTCATAATAATTTAAAAATAAATCAGTATTCTATGTTTACATTATTACAACTCTGAAAGATTCATTTACTATCAAGCCAAATAGTGTAGTGTGATTTAATCTATTTTCTTCTAAAGCTTTTTGTTTTTCCTGGAGCTGACAATTGCATTATTTTTTCATTTGCTTAGTTTTCTAGGTATTAATCTCTAATTCTTTCCAAACCTTTCGAGAAACTGTAAAACTCTACAATTCTTGCTTGAACCCAGGAGGCGGAGGCTGCGGTGAGGCCACTGCACCCCAGCCTGGGTGACAAAGCGAGACTCCATCTCAAAAAACAAATAAACGAAAAGCCCCTACAGTTCTGTTTTTCACATGGTCAAATGTGTCAGCTGCACTATTTTTCTTTTTTTTGAGACCTAAAACTAGGGATTGCCTAAGCCTTTCCTCTTTAAAAAGTCAGGTTTATATAGGTATAACTTGCATACAGTAAAATTAACCTTTTTTAGGTGTAAGAGTTCAGAGAGTTTTGATAGAATATATCAAGGTGTAGGGCCAGCGCCGATGGCTCACACCTGTAGTCCCAACACTTTGGAAGGCCAAGGCAGGAGGATCACTTACGCCTAGGAGTTCGAGACCAGCTTGGGCAACATAGTGAGACCCTGTCTCTATTTAAAAAAAAAGTATCAAGGTATAGGAAATTTCCATTACCTGACAAAGGTCACTCACCCTTTTGTAGTTAATATCTTCTCTCCAACCTACATCCAGCCAAGTACTGATCTGATGTCTGTCCTTATATTTTACCTTTTCCAGAATGTTGCATAAATGGAGTCATACAGTAAGTAGCCTTTTGTGTCTGGCTTCAAGCCTTTGCTTTTTATAAAGAATAACAATGGTAATAATTATAACTGACATTTATTAAAGGCTTAGCAGATACCGTATACTGTGCCACAGGCTTTTCGTGGGTTATCTCATCACCGTTTCACATATGTAGGTATACAATTCTTTCTTTAAAATGTGTGACTGTGAAGAATATTATTGAACATTATGTTAAAATGTGTTACACTGAGACTAAGAAAAACAGAGCTCATCTTTTCTTTCAACTGATTTCCTTTTAACATTGTACTTCAGTACCTGGAAGCTGCTTGCTTCTTTCCCCAGCTAGGATACAAATTCCCTGACAGTTAAATGCTTCTTTACTTCCCATCCAGTGCCTTGCACAGGGCTTGGTACATGGTTTGATCCAAAATATTTGTTGAATAAATTTGCAGATAGCACAGGTGTGTAGGAGGGGGAGAGAAGGTTCTTGAAAAATGGAGATTGGAGGAATCTGGGGTGGGGAGGGAGGTATGGGAAGGGCCCAGACAGAGGCAGGAGGGTTCCAACTTATTCCTCTTCCCTGCAGCCCAGTGTTTCCCGGGCTCTTTGAGTTCTGCTCGCGTTACACAGGCGCATCTCTGCAAGGAGCAACCCAGCTGAACAACAAGGTGACATAGTCCCGAGTCCTGTTCCTCCTTTCCTCTAGATCCCTGGACTCGGGATTTAACCCTGATCCTGGGCTCCCAGCTTGAAGGGTGGGCAGGAAGGACTGTGACTTGGGTGTTTGTCTTTCAGATCTGTGATATTGCCATTAACTGGGCTGGTGGTCTGCACCATGCCAAGAAGTTTGAGGTGAGTGAGGAGTTGATGGGAAAGACAGTGGCCATCCTCGGGTAGGTGTTTAGGATGATGGTGGGGGCAGCTGGGTAGGGGAATTGCTCCTCTCTTTATGAGACCACTGTCTTGCCATAGGCCTCTGGCTTCTGCTATGTCAACGACATTGTGATTGGCATCCTGGAGCTGCTCAAGTAAGTAGCCCAGGAGGAGATGGGGGCAGTTATGGGATTCTTGGCTGAGAAGGTCTCTCAGACTCAGCCCTGACCTTGACCTCCCTCCTCCCTGACTAGCTTCTCCCAAGTTCTTGATGCTTTATTCAGGCTGCCTCTTCCACTGCTGCAGATTCCCTGCTGCCTGCTCACATTTCAGCCTTCTCTGCATATCCCTCTTCTGTCCCTGCCTCTAGCCTCTAGCCTGGAGCCCCCAGTTGCCTTTAGGGAACTGGTGATATTAAGTTTCAGGTGACCAGGGCAGAAGCAGACTCTTCACAAAACGAGACCCGGTGTTTGGGAGGAGTGGGTCAGGGGTTCACTTCTAGCTCAGACCCTGGCTTTGGCTTCCCTCCAGGTACCACCCTCGGGTGCTTTACATTGATATTGACATCCACCATGGTGACGGGGTTCAGGAAGCTTTCTACCTCACTGACCGGGTCATGACGGTGTCCTTCCACAAATACGGAAATTACTTCTTCCCTGGCACAGGTATGGGAATAGGGATTACTTTCCCATTTGCACCCTTCAGCTCTTTACTATGAGTGCCTCCTTCTCAGCCTTCTAGTCTCATCTCAGGTGTCCCCTCCTCAGAGAAGCCTTTCCTGACCACCCCAGTTGTCACAATCACCTCCTTCCCCATTCCTCTGTTACATCAGCCTCATTCCCTCAGAACACTCACTGCTATTTATGTTTATTGTGGTTTTTTGTTTTGTTTTGTTTATTGCCTCCCTCCTCATGCCTACTCCCTAAGAATATAAGGTTGGTGGGATATCGTAAATTTCATTAGTTCCGTTCACTGCTGCGTCCCTACTGCCTAGTACACAGTTGGCTCAGAGTAGATCCCCCAAAACTCTTTGCCAAATGAATGCGAGCTGCAGGAGATTTAGTGGCTCTAGGGAGTTTATGGTGAAGCTACATAGATGCAGTGAGAGGCTCCCAGAGTGCAGATTGGGGTTGAAACAGCTGGGCTGTGGGTGCTTCCCATGTGTGGCTACCACCACCCGCTTCCCTATAGGTGACATGTATGAAGTCGGGGCAGAGAGTGGCCGCTACTACTGTCTGAATGTGCCCCTGCGGGATGGCATTGATGACCAGAGTAAGTATTGAAGTCTTCCTTCTGTTCCCTAGGCCCCTTCTTTTTCTCCTTGAAGTAACCTCTTCTGCCTCGTATTGTCTGCTGTTGGGGCCAGGTGTCCTTAAGGATGAAGGGCCTTCAGAGGGACCATGAATCCCTGGGAATTGTATGCAACATATCATGTATATGTGCATTTTTCTGGGAAAAGTCATTGGCTTTCATCAGTCGCCCATAGCAGTCTGGGATCCCTTCCAGAAGTTTCAGACCAATGATTCGGTTCTTTTGGGTTGCCCCTTTCCTGGGCTACATGCTCGCTCAACCCCCTTTTTCCTTTTGTTCCCTGTCTCCCCATCCCCTTGGGGTGCCAGGTGCCCATCTTTGGCCCTCTCCCAGGTTACAAGCACCTTTTCCAGCCGGTTATCAACCAGGTAGTGGACTTCTACCAACCCACGTGCATTGTGCTCCAGGTAATACTGTCAGTTCCTCCTCAGGAGTGTTCTGCCTGGGCTTGGGGAAAGAGGACAAGGGAAGAGGAGGTTCTTTAGGTTGGTGATAGACGGGGTATCTGTGATGTTCTGATCAGTTATCTCACTGCACTTGCCTGGGCTTTTGCTTTTTGCAGTGTGGAGCTGACTCTCTGGGCTGTGATCGATTGGGCTGCTTTAACCTCAGCATCCGAGGGCATGGGTGAGACTTGCTCTCCTTCTTCTCCGCAAGGTTTTCAAGTGGCCTTGGACTTCAGTACGTGGGTGGGGGTAGATGGGGAATGGGCCTCATCTCTTCTTGGAAATCAAAAGTAGCTATAAATTGTACTTGAACTAGAAATGTCATCTTGAACAGAGTTCCCTAGATGGTCATTCATTCACAATATATTTTTATTAAGTACCTATTATGTTCCAGGCATCGTACCACATCATGGGGATGGAATGAGGAGTCTCCTGTGGAGTTCACAGTTTAGGAAACAGACAAAAAATAAATAATCAAATGAAATAGATTGTTATAGATTCTATGAAAGAAAAAAGAAAGCTGAGACACAGGATACAATGGGGGACCTACTTTAGATAGCATGATTTGGAAAAGTTTTTCTGAAGAAGTAAAATTTGAGCTGAGACCTGGAGACTAAGAAGGAGTGAGTCATAAGAGGAGCAGAGAGAAGCCTGTCCCAAGCATTGACAAAGGCCCACAAAAGGCTCTGAGGGCTGGGCCCAATGGCACACACCTATAATCCCAACACTTTGAGAGGCCAAGGTGGGAGAATCGCCTGAGGCTGGGAGTTTGAGGCCAGCCTGGGCAACGTGGCAAGAGCCATCTCTACAGAAAATAAAAAACAAAATCAGCTGGGCATGATGGTGCATGCCTATAGTCCTAGCTACTCAGGAAGCTGAGGCAGGAGGATCACTTGAGCCCAGGAGTTTGAGGTTACAGTGAGCTATGATTATGCCACTGGACTTCAGTCTGGGCAACAGAGTGAGACACTGTTTCTTTAAAAAAAAAAAAAAAAAAAAAAAAGGCTGTAGCAGGAATGAGCTGACGAAGTAGAATGCAGGGAGCAGGCTGGAGGTAGTTTGAGGTGAGGTCCAAGAAGCTGGCCATGGTGAGATTGTGCAGAGCCTTTAAACCCTGGTAAGGAGTTTGAATTATATTCCAAACATGATGGGAAACCATTGAAGGATTTTAAGCAGGAAAGTGACATGATCCAATCTGTGTTTGAAAGTGACTATTCTGACTGCTGAATAGAGAAAAGTTTGGATGGGGGAATGGGGATGGAAGTGGGAAGACCAGTTAGGAAGCCATGGTGTTGGTTAGGTGCCCAGACTAAGGTGAAGGAGGTGGCAATGAAGAACAACAGCCACAACCCAGCTATTTCAACACACACACACATATATATGGTTTTTTTTCTTTTTTGAGATGGAGTCTTGCTCTGTCGCCCAGGCTGGGGTGCAGTGGCACGATCTTGGCTCACTGCAAGCTCTGCCACCTGGGTTCTAGCGATTCTCCTGCCTCAGCCTCCTGAGTAGCTGGGACTACAGGCATGCGCCATCATACCTGGCTCTCTCTCTCTATACATATATATATATATATATGTATGTATATATATATTTTTTTATTTTTAGTAGAGACTGAGTTTTGCCACGTTGCCCAGGTTGGTCTCAAACTCCTGAGCTCAGGCAATCCGTCTGCTTCGGCCTCTCAAAGTGCTAGGATTACAGGCGTGAGCACTGCACCGGGCATGAGTTATATTTTCAAGGTTAGAATTGACAGAACCTGCATTGATGAGAGTAGTTGGTTAACATGCAGGGTGCCAGGGAGGGTGTTGAGCAGAACAGAGGTGGGACTGTGCTTTATTTTAAAATTTTTATTGAGACACAGCATATAAAGTATATGCAAATCTTAAGGGTATAACATAATGAATTTCACTATGCAGCTAAAGATTTGGAACATTTATAGTTTTCTTGTGCTCCTTTCAGGCAATACCTAAAGGTATTTATTTACCTTGTCTTTTGATAACCTCCTCCGCGTCTTCCTCTGGTTCCTTTTAACAGGGAATGCGTCGAATATGTCAAGAGCTTCAATATCCCTCTACTGGTGCTGGGTGGTGGTGGTTATACTGTCCGAAATGTTGCCCGTTGCTGGTGAGCACCCTCCTGATTTCCTCCCCTGTTGTCCAGTGTGAGCTAGGGTGTCCCTCAGATATGGCCACATGGGCCCTTCAGCCCACTTGATCAGCCTGCTCCCCTCTGCTGGTTGGTTTCAGGACATATGAGACATCGCTGCTGGTAGAAGAGGCCATTAGTGAGGAGCTTCCCTATAGTGGTAAGGACTACCCCACAACACCCCCATAACAGGAAGGCCATTCTCACCAGATTCCAGAATGACCTGGTTTGAAGGCAGATGGGAAATTTTACACTTTCAGAGCTCTGCAGGCTAAACCCCTGGGCTCAGAGCAGGGAAAAGATTGGGCAGCTATTATGTAGGTGCTCTGGATGGGAAGGAAAAAGATTGGGAAGTCTTGGTAGCTGCCTTTCTCAGTCTGAGCCATACTTTCTCCTCTCCTCCCCAAGAATACTTCGAGTACTTTGCCCCAGACTTCACACTTCATCCAGATGTCAGCACTCGCATCGAGAATCAGAACTCACGCCAGGTCAGCAGCTCAGAAAAGCTGAGCACAAACTTCTCCTGAAAGGTGGAGCCCAGGAGAGGTCAAAGATGTGGGAAGTAGGAAAAACCAAGGAGAAGGAAGTTCTAAGTCATCACTGTCACTGTTATTGGCTAGGAGGCAGTCCAGGTTAAAGTAGAGGCAGTTGGGGTTGGTGGGGAGGGACAGCTATCAATTGGGGGACCTGAACTAGAGATACCACTGAGATGAAAATCAGGATGGTAGGGGTAAAAGGCAACTAGGAGATTGCATGCCCTGGGAATCACTGGGAACTGCTCACTCTCTGTTCCTCATTTCCAACCAGTATCTGGACCAGATCCGCCAGACAATCTTTGAAAACCTGAAGATGCTGAACCATGCACCTAGTGTCCAGATTCATGACGTGCCTGCAGACCTCCTGACCTATGACAGGACTGATGAGGCTGATGCAGAGGAGAGGGGTCCTGAGGAGAACTATAGCAGGTCTGGGAGCAGGGACTTCAGCCTACTTCCAATAGGCTTGCTGGGGAGGTTTAAAAGGGAAAAAGTAAGTGGGAAGGTATTAGCTTAATTGCCTCTGGCTTACCTCCTTTAGTCTGCTACAATTTCCTCACTCTTTTCTTTGCTGTTTTTAATGACAAAAATAACACGTATTTATTGTAAAATTTTAAAACAGCACTAAAATATGTTGTTTGCTTTCACACAATCCCAGACCCATTCCACAGGAGTAACCACTGTTAATAGTTTTTATTTTAGATAGGCCTTTTTCTATAGATTGCAAATATACTGTTCTGTATGTACATATAAACAAACACATACACACTCATTTGCAGTTTGTGTGGTTTTTAGTTTTTTATAAATACAAATAGAGTCATTCTACATATGCTGCTTTACATGATATGGCCGGTTCCAGTTAGCTAATATAGATCTGCCTCAGTATTTTATCAGCTGTATAATAATCTGTTGTGTAGATGGATTATTTTCCATTTTTTTGGTATTACAGTAATAAT